ACCTCTTTATCTAAACAATCATCAAGCTCAAATTTAACGAGATCATTACCACCAATTAACAAATCACCTGTTTCTCCACCAAGCCCAGCTCCACCCGCACCGACTTTAACAAAATCAAAATCAACACCATCTTCACCACTTTCAACCCCAACTTCTTTGAAACCAGCTACAACCACCAATACAATATCAACACCAACAAGAAGAATATCTTCAAGTACTACATCTTCACCTATTGGTGGTAGTAGTGGTTCAAATTCAACAACTTCTTTAAAAAGACCTCCAACTTTATCCTCGACACCTAAATCATCATCAACAACAACAACAACAACATCATCATCAACCAAAACGCCATCAACTACAACCACAACCACCACTCCAAGTGCAACTAAAAAATCATTTATTACAAAAACCACTTCAGATGAAAATGACAACACAAAACCAACAACAACAACACCAAAACCCACAAATAAAACAACAACATCATCATTATTATTATCATCAAAGAGAAGATCTGACAATGTAGATGAAATTGATTTAGAGTCATTGGAAATTAGTTTAAATCAAGACAATAAATTAGCATTTAATGAGATTTCCGATGAAATGTCAAATAATTTAAGAGATGCCAAAAAAGGTTTATCTTTTTATGAAAAAGGTAATTATAAATAATAATAATAATAATAATAATAATAATAATAATAATAATAATAATAATAATAATAATAATAATAATAACTATTATCATTGGATATTAAAAGAAATTAATGTTAATTTTTTATTTCCTTTTTTTTTTCAATAGAATTAACATTGGACGATTTAGAAAATAATAATAATAGCAATAGTAATAGTAATAGTAATAGTAATAATAATAGTAAAAGAAGTAGTGTATCATCATTTACCAATAGTATAAAAGAATCAACCACTGCTGATGTAGATTTTAATTGGCTAGAAGATTCTGTGCATGATAGTTTAATTGATGAAGACGTTTTAGATTTTGATGGAAATAATAATAGTACTTATATTCCAAGAAATAATATAATTAAAGAAGAAGAATATGAACAACAACAAAAAAGAGAACAACAAGAAGTTTTGGATGAAGACGATGACGAATTAATGTTTTAATAATAATATATTAAAATTTTAAAAAAAAAATTCTTATATCCAATTTTATAATAAATAATAACAACACATAACATTACAATGTACATATATCTATATTTACAATATACAATAGTAAAAAATAAATAAAAAATAAATAAAAAAAATAATAATAATAAAATAAATGATAAAAATGAATCATGGTAATAAAAATAAAGGAACTAATTAAATCAAATCCCCTTTTATTGGTCTCAAGGTTGTTTAACTGAAAAAAAGTTAAATCGAACTTCGACCCTTTTAAAGGCGAATTTTACTGCAATAAAATCGAAAATTAAAAAACAGAAAAAAATATATTAAATTAATTAAAAAAAAATCCAATTTCTTGACATAACTGCCTAAAAAAATATTAATTCCAATTTAAAACTTCAAGAAGAACCTATAGAGGTTGCATTGTGAGAGAAAAAAAATTGAAATTTGGTTGAAATTGTAACGAATGTTAACGACAAATTTTTTTTTATTTTTTTTTTTTTTTTATTTTTTTTTTTTACTGACTTTTTTTTTTTTTTTTTTTTTTTTTTTTTTTTTTTTTGAAACTTGATATTTTATATATAAATAATTTCCTTTTTTTTTTTTTTAAATTAATTAAAAACAAGTATGTTATTTTATTTTTATTAAAAAAATAGTTTATAATTTTTATTTTTCCTATCTTTTATTTATTTATTTTTTTTGTATAAACCGTGTGTGTTTTTTTATTTATTTTTTTTATCTATTTTTTTTTAAAATTTTTTTTTTTTTTTAAAATTCTTAAATAACACAACTAACTTTTTTTTTTTTAAAAAAAAAAATAATATTATTAAAAATACATAGGGTTTTTTTTATTTATTTTATATATAATTATTTTTCAATTACAAACATTAGCACATAGAAAACAAAATGCCCGACACCAAATTTTATGATATATTAGGAGTTGCACGTGATGCATCAGAAACTGATATTAAAAAGGCATACCGTAAATTAGCCATTAAATATCACCCAGATAAGAACCCAGATCCAGCTGCAGTAGATAAAGTAAGGATTACTTAAACAAATCGTTTTTTTTTCCCTTTTTTTTTTTCTTCTTTTTTTTTATTTTCTTTTTTCTTTTTTTTCATTATCTTTTATTTTTTATTCATATTAATTTTTTATTTCAATTAATTTAATTTAGTTTAAAGAAATTACAGTTGCATATGAAGTTTTAACTGATAGCGAAAAGAGAGACATTTATGATAAATATGGTGAAGAAGGTTTAAGAGAAGGTGGTGCAGGATTTTCAGCAGATGATATCTTTTCACAATTCTTTGGCGGCGGCGGTGGATTTGGTGGATTTGGTGGACGTGGTGGTAGACGTGGACCAAGAAAAGGTGAACCACTCCAACATAATCTTAAAGTTACTCTCGAGGATTTATACAAAGGTAAAGTTCAAAAGCTTGCCTTACAAAAGAGTAGCAAATGTCCAGATTGTCAAGGTAAAGGTGCCACAAGTAAAGACGCAGTCAAGAGATGTGATGATTGTAATGGTAATGGTTTCAAGGTTATTCACAGACAAATCGGTCCAGGTATGGTTCAAAAATTACAATCACAATGTCCATCATGTAAGGGTGAGGGTAATGTCATCCGTGACAAAGATAGATGTCCAAAATGTAAAGGTAACAAAACCATTCAAGAGAAGAAAACACTCGAAGTAAACATTGACAAAGGTATGAAACATGGTCAAAAGATTGTTTTCCCAGAGGAAGGTGACTACGAATCACCTGATATCGTACCAGGCGATGTTATCGTCGTTCTCATCCAAAAAGAACACCCAGTATTCCAACGTGAAGGTGATGATCTCATCATGGAGCATGAATTAACTCTTTTAGAGGCTTTAACCGGCTTCACCTTTTACATCACTCACTTGGATGGTCGTGTCATAACCGTAAAGAATCCACCAACTCAAATCATAAAACAAGGTGACATCAAATGTATTCATAACGAAGGTATGCCAGGTTACAAGAGACCTTTTGAAAAGGGTAGACTCTTTGTCAAATTTAATGTTGTCTTCCCAACTTCAGGTCAAATCACCCCTGAAAACGCTAAACTCTTGGAGAAAATACTTCCAAAACCAAAACCAGTTCAAAAACCAGAATCACACGACGGTTTAGATGAAGAGGCAGTTTTACACGATTTCGATCCAAAACAACAACAACATTCACATGGTAGCAGATCCTCAGCTTACGAAGATGACGACGACGATCAACATGGTCATCCACAAGGTGTTTCTTGTGCCCAACAATAAAAAAAAAACAAAACAAAACAAAACAAAACAAAACAAAACAAAACAAAACAAAACAAAAAAATTAGTTTAAAATTTAATTAATTTTATATATAAATAATAACATTACGAATTTATTTATGTGTCTAATGTAGAAAAATAAAACAAATAAATAAAAATAAAAAAAACAAACAAAAAAAAAAATAAAAAAGGGCAAACATTTATCATAATACGACTGCAAAAAAAAAAAAAAAAATATTTCAATATGTTTCAAATAGGGATTTTATTCAGTGTTTAAAAAATTATTAATTAAATTCCAGTGTAGTTTCATTTTTATAGTTTTTTAATTATTTTAAGGTTGGGTTGGCCATCAGTTTAAAATTGTTTAAATTAATTTGGCTGGATATCAATATTTTCTATTGATTGGCTCAAAATTACATTTTTATTGACATAGGACTTCACCGTAACCAATTTGATTGTATTTTGAACGAATTTTTATTTTATAACCTCATCCCTGATATGTTCGAATCATAATTTTTTTATAATTAGTTTAAAATATGTTATTTTATCAATTTGAGTATATTTCAATTGAAATATTTTTAAAACTTGGAACAATAGATTTGGTTTAATATTGCTATCTTTCATCCTTCCTCCACCTATTTTCTTTTATAAAAAATTCTTGCTTTTTTTACTGTTCAGTATATACTCTTGAGTTATCCAAAGGATTGAATTTATATTTACTGATTATTTCTAACCAATATTCTTTTGGTTTTGAATTATTAACCAAAATTTTTTTATTATTAACTTACCTGCCTCAAAACTTGAATAAATAAAAACATAAAAAATAATACAAAGAAATCAAATAAAATTACAAAAGGAAGTCTATATTATAATTGTCATTTTTTACTAAATTTTTTTCATAGCTTAATTATTTTTTTAGATAATTTTTTTTTTAATAACTTCATCCAATTGGATGTGTTAGAATCATGTTTTTATTAATTTTTTTTCCTTTTTTTTTAATAACCTCATCCAATTGGATGTGTTCGGATCATGTTTTTATTTATTAATTATTTAAATTTAAATTTTTTTCTGTGACCACGTTAATTCGTGGTATGAACAAGACTTGAACCAAGGTCATGGAGACTGTGTTATTCAATGTGAAACCACCATGCTAATCCCCACTTTTTTAGCTTTTTTTTTTTTTTTTTTAATAACCTCATCCAATTGGATGTGTTCGAATCTAGTTTTTATTTATTAATTATTTTAATTTAAATTTTTTTTTTCTGTGACCACGCTAATTCGTGGTATGACCAAGACTTGGCCATGGAGGCTGTGTTATTCTGTGTGAAACCACTATGCTAAGCCCCCCCACTTTTTTAGCTAAATTTTTTTTTTAATAACCTCATCCAATTGGATGTGTTCGAATCTAGTTTTTATTTATTAATTATTTTAATTTGAATTTTTTTTTTTTCTGTGACCACGTTAATTCGTGGTATGACCAAGACTTGAACCAAGGCCATGGAGGCTGTGTTATTCTGTGTGAAACCACTATGCTAAGCCCCCAACTATTTTTTTTAGCTAAATACTAGCTATTTTTTTTTTAAAAAATATCAAAGCCCGTTTAGCAAAGTTGGAATTGCGGCAGCCTTCTAAGCTGCAGGTCGTGGGATCGAGACCCACAATGGGTGTAATTTTAACGTTGTCCGTCAAAATCCGAACTTCGGAAAAATAATGTCCAACTATCGACCTTGGTTCGAATCTTGGTTTTGCCACAAAATAATAATTAATGTCAAACTCTCGACCCAGGTCCTTTGAATACAATTAAAAAAAACCTATGGGATTGCCAACATAACCTCAACCTTTTACTAAAACCATCTTTCCTTAAACTTTAACACAAAAAAAAAAAAAAAATAAAAAAAAATAAACTATTTCTATATAGTTAAAAAAAAAATACAAAAGATTCTATCGTTACCAAAGAGTTACTCTGAAATAAAAAGAAAAAAAAATACTTGATTGTATTGCATTCACTATTTATGAAAAAATAAAAAATTAAGGTATTTTCTTCACAGTAAACAAAAATTACAAAATATACAATAATAGATGAACATATAATTACTCCCCCCATTTTTTCCAAAGATGTTCAAATAAAAATTAAAAAAAAGTAAAAAAATAAAATTAAAAAAAAATAAAATTTTATTTATTTGTTTTTTTTTCACAAATAAATTAATTTTGTTTATTTTTTTTTTTATTTTATTATTTTTTTTTTAATTTTATTAATTACTTTAATTCCGTTTTTCCTAACAAATATTCATACATATTTAATTAAAAATAATAATAAAATAATATAAAAAAAAAAAAAAAAAAAAAAATGTCTTTACATCATGTTAATACAAATAAATATAAAGGATATTACGATCCATATGCATTAGCAGTGGCAACAAAAGAAATAGCTAAATATACCATTAATGAAGAATCAAATAAACCAGAGGTTATTAGAGGTATAAAATATATAGAAATTAAATATATAAAAAATTAAATATTAACCAATGTAAAAAAAAAAAAAAATAATAAAAATAATAATAATAATAATAATTGATTTACCAAAAGACTTAATAATTGATGAACTATTATTGGATGGTAATGCAAAGCAAAATTTAGCAACTTTCTGTCAAACTGATTTGGATAAAGAAATACATACATTAATGGATAAATGTATTGATAAGAATATGATTGACAAGGATGAATATCCTCAAACTGCCGAGATTGAAAGCCGTTGTGTTCATATATTAGCAGACTTATGGAATTCACCAGAAAGTGGGGATACAATTGGTTGCTCTACAACAGGTTCAAGTGAAGCTGCAATGTTGGGTGGTTTGGCATTGAAATGGAGATGGAGAGAAATGAGAAAGAAACAAGGAAAACCAAGTGATAGACCAAATCTTGTAACAGGTCCAGTTCAAATTTGTTGGCATAAATTTGCCCTCTACTTTGATATTGAGCTAAGAGAGGTACCAATGGAGCACGGTCGTTTTATAATGACACCAGAGGAAGCCATTAAACGTTGTGATGAGAATACTATTGGTGTTGTTCCAACATTGGGTGTAACTTTCACACTTCAATATGAAGATGTTAAAGGAATCTCGGATGCATTGGACAAATTTCAGAAAGAGACTGGTTATGATATACCAATTCATGTTGATGCTGCAAGTGGTGGTTTCGTTGCACCATTCCTCCAACCAGAGCTAGTATGGGATTTTAGATTACCACGTGTAAAATCAATAAATGGATCGGGTCATAAATTTGGTTTGTCTCCATTAGGGGTTGGATGGGTAGTTTGGAGAGGTAAGAATGATATCCACAAGGATTTAGTATTCAATGTCAATTATCTCGGTGGTAATATGCCTACATTTTCATTGAATTTCTCGCGTCCAGGAGGTCAAATCGTTTGCCAATACTACAACTTTTTACGTCATGGCCGAAGTGGATACAGAGCGGTTCATCAAGCTTGTCTTGACCATGGAATTTTCATTGCAAGTGAGGTAAAAAAACATGGTATCTTTGATATTGTTTATGATGGCAGAGGTGCACTACCAGGTGCGTGTTGGATGTTAAAAAAAAATTCAAAAGTTAAATTCAATCTTTTTGATCTCTCAGATAGAATGAGAAATAGAGGTTGGCAAATTGCATCATATTCTTTACCAAAATTACCAGATATTGTTGTTCAACGTGTTTTAATTAGACATGGATTTAGTCGTGATATGGCAATGCTCCTTATTGAAGATTTTAATCGTAGCATTGAATATTTTGAAAAACATCCAATGATTGAAAGTATTTCAAAAGAAGAAGGTCAATCATTCCATCATTAGGTTATAATTAACTATTAGTGATTAAAAAAAAAATAAACTATTAAAATTAAATTTAGTAAAAAAATAAATAAAAAAACTAAAAAAAAATAAAAATTATTATTATTAATATTATTATTATTATTATTATTACTATTATTATTTATTTTTGTTGTTTAAATAATTTTGATAATCTTTGAATAAATGTATCGATTTCAATCTTTGTAATACCTATTGCACATGCAACAGTTAAATAAGATGTTGAATAATTTTCGATATGAGAACCATAATTATTAAATTCAATACCACCTATTATTGCTTTTTTATTGGTTTCTAAATCAATAACTCTAGAGCCTGAACAAGATCTAGAGAATAGTTTTGATCCAATCATTGAAAAAGAGAATGAATTTTTAAAATCACCGATGGTGGTAATTTCTTTATCTTGAGTAGTGTTATTTAATATTTTTGATGATAAAGTTAAAGCAAAACTAATTTTATTTTCATTAATTGTATTTAAAAGTCTTTCATTAAACTGTGAAGCTAATGTTGAAAGTTTTTCATTGAAATAAATTAAAAGTTCCTTTCTTTCTTTTAATAAATCTAACCAACCTTGTTTACCCATTGATAATAGAGTAATGAAAACATCTAAAATTGGTGATGAATTTGCTCTACCTGGATAATTTCGAGCTATTTGATCTATAAACTCTTTATTTGGACCACTAATGATTGCTCCACCAACTGGTACCATAAAATTTTTATCAGTACTTTGAATGAATGCATCAACTCTACCTAATTTACATGCTTGTGATATATTGTTTAGAATCTTTGAGCATTGTAAACCATATGCATTGTTTATAATATGACCTATATTATATCGTTTACAAATTTCACTGATTTCAATAATTTTATCTGGTACTCTTGGTGCAAAGCAACTAGTTGTACTGAAAACACATAAAATGTTATCAACTCCCAATTCTTTAATCTTTTCTTCTAATATGTTTAAATCAGTTCTAATCATATCACCCTCCAATATATTTGGTATAACAATTGGTATTAATCCTGCCGTTATTATTGATTTTAAACATGATTTTTGATCAATTCTTGGCCATAATACATATCTTTTATTTGATTGTGATTGTTGAGATTTTAATGTTAACATTGTTAAAGTTAATGTCATACCAGTTGCCATTGGTAATAATAAACAATTTGATAATGAACTTTGTTCTAATCCTGCTAACTTCATTGCATCTAATACTAATGAATGTGTTAACTTTTGTATTAAACTTGATCCTGCTGCTTTTGGTTGTTGTTCAGTTATATCACCACTTCTACCAATTCCATGTGCGAATCCATAATGTCTTTTCTCAACCAATCCACTATATATTCTACCTTCTCTTTCACCAACTCCAATATTCTCTATAAAGTTATTTGAATCCATCATTGATATTTCATTTAATATTAATTCAATAATTTTATCATTGTATCCTATATTTGGTAATTTTTTCTTTTAGAAACATTTTTGAATTAAAAAATGTAAGTTTATAAAGAAATAATAATAATAATATATATATATATATATATATATATATATATATATATATATATCTATGTAAATAAATAATTACATGAATTAATAATGTTTCTAAAAGTTTATTAAATTGTGATGTTCCTTGAATGGCTTGATCAACATATGATCCTTTAATTAATCCTTTACACGTCTCCAAGTTCTTTAAATTCATTTTTAAATTCTTTAATTTTTTTTTTTTTTTTTTTTTTTTTTTTTTCAGATATTAATCTTAATTAAAACAGTCAAAACTAATTAATTAAAATCGTTTCAAATATTTTTTTTGATAATTTTTCTTTTTTTTTTTTTTTTTTTTTTTTTTTTTTTTTTTTTTATTTTTTTTTTTATTTTTATTTTTGAAAAAGTAAAAAAAAAAAATTGTGGATTTCATTTTAATTTTTTTTTTTTTAATAGGATTCAAACTTCCGTCATCTTTTTTTTCTTTTTTTTAATATATAATAATAGTTAATTTGGTTATAATATATTTAAATAATATAAATTAAATGTAAGTCAGTTAACCAGTTCCTGTTGTTTTTGGAAACTTGGTTTTTTTTTTTATTGTTTTGTTTTTCTTTTGTTTTTTTTTATACATATATATATATTTTTTTTTTCCTCCTCCAAAACAATTTATGTATACCCTTTGGTTCAAAATCCAAATGGATATACTTTCAAAAGGAAAAAGGAGTAATCTCATAATATAATAATTTATACCACTCATATATCAAATGTTTGGAACAACGTTCTTCCCTTTTTTTTTTTTTTTTTTTCTTGTTTTTTTATTTTTTACGAAATTGGTTTCCACCCATATTTTGTAATTACCAAAAAGATACATTTTATGGTACTTAATAGGATATGATCCAAGACCATACTAAAAATACGAATTTATTAATTTCCAACTGATCTACCAGTTTGTTTATAATTTCCAATCTTTTTTTTTTTATTTTATTTTTTTATTTTATTTTTTATTTCAAACTTTCACAAAAAAACTTTTTTTTTTGAATTTTTTTTTTTTTTTTTTTTTTTTTTTAATTTTTTTTAATTCAAAAAAAAAAAAAAAAAAAAAAAAAAGTTAAGATTGGATTACTTACACACAAAAGTATAGATTTTTATTCATTAAGCACTATCATTTAGTAAATTTTAGTGTTTTTTTTTTCTCTCCAATAATATTTGTTTTTAAAAATTAATTCCAATTTGTATGTATAACCTTCTTTTTTAACTTATATATATATCCAATTTATAGTTTTTTTTTTTTTTTGGATTTTTTTTTTTTTTTTACCATCTT